TGGCGCAGGTCTTTGATGGAATCACCGTCCTGGATTTCACCAGCGGGCGGGCCGGCGGCGTCGCCACCATGGTGATGTCCGACTTCGGGGCCGAGGTCATCAAGGTTGAGCCTCCGGGCGGTGAAAAGTTCCGGAACTCGCCGGGATCTATCCAGTGGAACCGGGGCAAAAAGAGCGTCGTCCTGGACCTGAAAACGCCGGAGGGACGGGATAACGCGCGGGAGTTGGCGCGGCTTTCCGACGTGGTGGTGGAGAGCTTCCGGCCGGGGGTGGCCAAGCGGCTGGGCATTGATTACAACAGCCTGCGCGCGGAGCATCCCGGGCTGGTGTATGCCACGCTGACCGGCTTCGGGACCGAGGGGCCCTACGCCAACTACAAGGGCTACGACGGCGTGGTGGCCGCCAAGAGCGGCCGGATGATGATGTTCGCCGAGCAGCATCCCCGGGAGGGTCCCAACTACGTGGTGGTTCAGGGGGTCTGCCACGCGAGCGCCACGGCGCTGGTTCGAGGCATCACGTCCGCTCTCTACGTGCGGGAAAAGACCGGACGGGGCCAGCGGGTGGAGACCAGCATGCTGAAGGCCGTGACCACCTACGATCACGTGTCCTGGGTGTACGGCCAGATGATCGAGAACCTGCCCGACACCTACCCGCCGGACCCGAGGGTGGGCATCGGTCGTCCCAACCCCACGGGGTACCTGCCGGCCCGCACCAAGGACGGCCAATGGATCCAACTGGGGAATGTGGTGGAGCGGCTGTTCCGGTCCATGATGCACTGGCTGGACATGGACTTCATATACGAGGACCCGAGATTCAAGAGCGCGCCCTTCCTGGATCAGGACGCCGTTGCGGCCCTGGACGGATCATGCTGGAGAAGGTCCAGGAGAAGACGCTGGACGAGTGGATGGGCATATTCCTCGGTGAAGCCGGCAACGTGGCCGCCGAGCCCTACCTCACGTCCGAGCAGGCCCTGGACCATCCTCAGATCGTGCATAACGGCAACGCGCAGGACGTGTTTGTCCCTGGGGTCGGCGGAACGCGGCAGCTCGGCCCCATGGTGAACATGAACGGGACGCCGGGCAGCACGCAGGGGCCGGCGCCGGCGCTGGGTCAGCACACGGCGGAGACGCTGGCCCGCCTGGGCGGCGACGCCGGAAGTCGTTCCAACGGGGCCAGGGAGGCGATGCCAAAGCACCCACTGGAGGGGATAACGCTGCTGGATTTGGGGACGGTAATCAACGGGCCGCTGGGCTGCGCCCTGGTCGCCGAGTTGGGCGCGAGGGTCATCCGCATCGAAGCGCCCGGCGGCGACTGGGGCCGGCGGGGCATGCCGATGTCGGTGCACCGAACCATGGGAGGCTCGGAGTGCATTTGCCTGGACCTCAAGACGCCGGAGGGCCAGGAGATCATGAGCAAGCTGGCGGCAAAGGCCGACCTGCTGCTCCACAGCATGCGCCCGGGCGCGCCGGAGCGGACGGGTATCGGCTACGAACAGCTTGCCAGGATCAACCCGAAGCTGGTGTACCTGTACGCCGGCGGGTACGGCTCTACCGGACCCTACTCGCACCGGCCGTCGATGGCTCCGATAGCCGGCGCCGTGTCCGGGGGCGGCGTGGCCCAGATGGGTCGGGACGCTTTCCCGCCGCCGGAGCAGGCCATGTCCATCGATGAAATCGCGGCCGTGTCCAGGAAGCTCAAGCGGGCGAACGACGGCACCGCCGATCACACCACGGGCATGGTCAACGCCGTGGGCCTGGTGCTGGGCCTCTATGCACGGGAGCGCACCGGGACGGCGCAGTACGTCGAGTCCACCATGATCGCCGCCAACGCCTACGCCAATATCGACGACTTCTACTGGCACGAAGGCAAGGAGCCGCGCCCGCTGCCGGACGGGGAGGGACACGGGCTGCACGCCCTCTACCGCCTGTACCGGGCGAAGACGGGGTGGGTGTTTTTGGCCTGTCCCTTCGAGGACGAGTGGGAGGCGCTGTGCCGCGCCATTGACCGACCGGACCTGCGGGATGATCCCCGGTTTGCCTCTCCGGAGACGCGGGCGGAGCACGACGACGCGCTGGCCCACGAGTTGGGCCGGGTGTTCGCCGGCGCAGAGCCAATGCACTGGGAGCAGCTGCTCACCGCCGCCGACGTGGCGTGCGTCAAGGCCGAGGACCGGGGGATGTATTTCTTCTTCAACGAGGACCCCCACGTGCGCGAGAACGGCTTCCTCACGCCCGTGGAGGCGCCGCGCTACGGCGAGTTCTGGCGGTACGCTCCGGTGATAGACTTCTCGGAAACGCCGGGCCGGGTCGGGCCGGGCCCGCTGAAGGGTCAGCACACTCGCCCCATCCTCAGTGAGCTGGGGTACACCGACGCAGAGATCCATGACCTGAAACAGCGGCAGGTGGTGGACTGGGAGGAGGAGTAGCCGGCCATGACGCCCCACATCATTCCTGCCGACACCAACGGCATTCGGGACAAGGCGGCGATCGTCGGGATCGGCGAAACGGAGTTCTCGTGGAACTCGGGCCGCAGCGAGCTGCAGCTGGCCTCGGAGGCGATCAAGGCCGCCTGCGACGACGCTGGCATCGCTCCGCAGGATATCGACGGCCTGATCCGCTACGACATGGAGTCGAACCACGAGACCCTGCTGACGCAGTCGCTGGGCATCAAGAACCTGCGGCACTGGGAATCGGTGTCCTACGGCGGAGGCGCGGGCAACGCGGTGGTGGGCCATGCCGCCGCCGCCATCGCCGCCGGCTATGCCAACTACGTGGTTTGCTTCCGCGCCGCCAACCTGCGCTCGGGGCTGCGCCTGGGCCGGGCCCGGGGACCGGAGCGGATCGCCGGCGGGGCGGACAGCTTTGCCGTGCCCTGGGGGAACATGGCGCCGGCGCACCGTTTCGGGATGTTCGTGCGGCGGTACATGCACCAGTACGGGGCCACCAGCCGGCACTTCGGGTGGGTCGCGGTGACCCTGCGGGAGCATGCGTCGCGGAACCCACGGGCGCTGCGGAGGGAGCCCATCACCATCGACGACCACCAGAATTCCCGCATGGTGGTGGACCCGCTGCACGTCCTGGACTTCTGCCAGGAGAACGACGGCGCCGCCGCGGTGGTGATGACGACGCCGGAGCGGGCACGGGAGCTGCGTCACTCGGGCACGCTGACCCTGGTGGAGGCGGCGGCCCAGGGCTCCGGCCCCCGCAACGATGGGATCATCTACCGTCCCGACCTGGCCGTTGCAGAATCTGAGAACACCGCGCGCGACCTGTGGGCCCGGGCCAGGCTGGACGCCACGGACATGGATGCGCTGATGTTCTACGACCACTTCACGCCGTTCTGCTTGATCAACCTGGAGGCCTACGGATTTGTGCCCCGGGGCGAGGCCAAGGACTTCGTGGATGGGGGAGACAACATCCGGTTCGATGGTGCACTGCCCGTCAACACCCACGGCGGAAACCACTCTGAGGCGTACATCCACGGTCTGACCCACGTGCAGGAGGCGGTGCGCCTGATCCGGGGCGACTCCACGGCGCAGCCGCCGCACAAGACCGTCAACCGGGTCCTGTCATGCAGCAGCGTAGCCCAGTTGAGCGGGGCTGTGATAATCCGCCGGGGATAGCACGGGAATGGCCCCCGGATTGTTTCGGGAATAGCGAGGAGATTCGATGACCCAACAAGGAGAGCAGACCGCCAGGTCCCGGCCCATGACCGCGCCGCTGGAAGGCGTGCCGCTGCCAGACCTGGAGCGGGTGCCGGACTACGAGCGTGGATTCTGGGAGGGCTCGCGGGACGGCGAGCTGCGCATCCAGCGGTGCGCGGACTGCGGGCGGTTCCGGCACCTGCCGACGCCGATGTGTCCCGAATGCTCGTCGCTGGACTACACCTGGACCAAGGTCAGCGGCCGGGGCTTCGTGTACTCTTACGTGATCGTGCGGCACCCGGTGCATCCGGCGATCCACGAGAGGGAACAGACGCCCTACAACGTCTGCGTGATCGAGCTGGAGGAGCAGGAGGGTCTGCGGATTTGCAGCAACGTGCTGCAGGTGGCGCCGGAGGACATCGGCATCGACATGCCGGTGCAGGTGGCCTTCGTTCCCGCGGTGGACGATCCCCAGGTGTTCCTGCCGATGTTCCTGCCCGCTTCGGAGCGATAGACGACCGGCTCCGGCACGGCGTTGGTCTGCCTGCGAGGTCTGGCGGGTCACGCAATCAACATAACCGTCCCCGAGGAGAGTGAGAGTCATGGCCAACGCCTTCGGCAAGATAATCGCCAACGTGGCGCGACTGCACCGGCTGATGGACGAAGAGGGGGTCTCGGCCATCGTCGCTCGTTCGGGCAAGAACTTCACCTACCTGGCGGGGTTCGCGTATCCCGGCACGCTGGCGCGGCACCTGGAGTTCCCCGACTCGCCGCGGGAGGTGCTGCTGGTGTGGCCGCGGACGGGCGAGCCGGTGATGGTGCTGAACTCCTACGCGGCGCCGCTGGCACGGCGGGACTCGTGGCTGGAACGCATTGAGGTGGTGGACGACTACGCGGAGTCGCCCTACGAGAGGGCGGCCGAGGTGCTGCGGCAACTGGGGCTGGCGGAGGAGACCATCGGGTTCGAGAAGGGCTACGTCAGCGCGAACCGGTGGGAGGAGATCGGCCGGGCGCTGCCCCGGGCGCGCATCGTGGACAGCACCGACCTGATGGACCGGGTGCGCTGGATCAAGACGCCCGAGGAGGTCGCGGCGCTGGAAGCCGGCGCGCGGCTGCTGGACGAGGCGTACCTGGAGGTGCTGCCCACGGTCCGGCCCGGCGACACGGAACGGCTGGTGCACAGCCGCATCGTCGAGAGCTGCCTGCGGCGGGGCGCAAACTGGGTCCACGGCATCCTGAACTCCAGCCGTAACACGGTGGGTTACGGCGGCGAGAGCGACCTGGCCTTCGAGGCCGGCGACATCATCCGCAACGACTATGTCGCGTACCTGAACGGCTATCCTGGCCACCAGTCGCGGACCGTGTGCGTGGGCGCGCCGTCAGACGAGCAGAAGCGGGTCTACCAGGTGGTGCTGGACATCTACCGAGGCACCATCGACCGGTGCCGGCCCGGGGCGCGGACGGCGGACATCTACCACTACGCCAACGACAGCTTCCACGAGGCGGGGTTCGACGGCAACGTGGCGCTGGCGGGGCACGGGGTGGGCGCGTGGTGGCACCAGCAGGAGCCGTACATGGTGCCGTCCAGCGAGCGGGTCCTGGAGGAGGGCATGGTGGTGGCGCTGGAGCCGCACATCGGCCCCTGCTGGCACCTGCAGGACATGGTGTTGGTCACCGACGACGCGCCCAGGCTGCTGTCGCCGCTGATGGGGACGGACGAGATGGTGGTGGCGGGGTAGGGAAGAAGGTAGCCGCGCGCCGGTTTGACCGTTGGTGTGTATGATGGAATTCACCGGTCGAAGATCAACGGCATCAAAAATCTGCAATCCGCGCCAATGTAGACTCACCAAAGAGAAACTCGTTCACGATATGTGCACAATCACTCAAAAGGCAACATTCGCTAAAAATGTCTGTCGGTGTACACAATCTTCTCTGGGTAATAGCTGATGGCATTCGCTAAGTAGCTTTCGTCTGGTTGGTAATATTTTGCGGGCGTTAGGACGACGGTTTTGTTTATAATCTCGGGAACCAAAGAATACGCTACGAGTTCACCAAATACGCCTATGCTCGCCGGAGTCTGTAAATGCAATAATCAAGTCAACATCTGGGGAGGCGAGGACGTCGGCTTCAGACCTCGCCCAGTGCGAATCAGGGTTCACGCGCTGTTCGGGGTAAAACACCTCATGCCCGGCGTCCCGCAGCATTTGGTAGATCTGACGTCGCTTTTGGCCATATCCCTCGCTCTCAGACGTCATCTTTGGTCCCAAGACGGCAATCGATAAGATGCGTCGCAAACTTTCATCACCTTCGCGCAGGCGCTGCGCCGCTTCCGAAGAGGCTTGGATGATGCGGTCGTGAGGTGCGTTCATGCGGCGTTCAGCGTGTCGATAAACTGTCTGCCGCGATCAGTGATATATACGCCATTGGCCCCGATCTCACAGAAGTTCGCGGCAGTGAGCTTGGCCAACGATCGGCCGTCCTCACAGAAGTTGAACCCGGCTATCTCGATAACCGAATCGGCATATAGCCGAGCCAGTAAACGCACCGCGTCGTCATCATTGAACACGGCACCAGCCTTCCTCCGAAAATGACGATTGACGCGGTCCAATCGGGCTTGTGCATCGACGGAGGAAGGCGTGTTCCTGCCAGCACTCGGGCGACCCAAATCCCTCGTTGACAGCGGTAAAGTCCAATGCTCGGCAGATTCATACGGGTTTAGGCCGAAGTCCCAAGCAAGGATGTAGTCTCTTGCCGGCTCAGACTGCCTTGCTTCAACACGGTGGAGTTGAAAATCGCTGGAAAAATCAGCGGGATAGTCAACTCCCAAAACAAGATCACGGTATTCATACTCCAACCCGGACATGTCGCCCACTAGTTCCATTTCGCGAGGCGACGAAATTGGGGATCCTGGATCGATGGTAGTCATCATCCAACCTCCAAGTCGAGGTAGCGCGTACACAAGTGTCGCGCGATCTCGTAAAAATGGTCGACAGCGGTAGTCGACTCGGCTAGGGCGTCCTGGACAGAAGCGACGATTCCGGACCTATTGCTCGTTGTCAGGCTAAAGTTGACGAAGCCACCTACGCGGAAGCGCAGGTTCGGGTTGTCAGCAAAACTCAATCCATCGCTCAAAGTCACGTCGATGTCCTTGTCCTCTAGACGGTACGAAACGCGGACAAACAACCTTGGGGTGATGTCGCCGAATGGGATTGCTAGCCCTGAGATAGGGGACGCAATCGTAGTGTTAAAGTCATCCGCATCTACCAACAAGCAGGCCGGGGTGATGACGACTGTATCGACGGACAGATATCTTGGTGAGCATTCAAAATATCTGGAAGCCACATCTATCGCTGCCAACTCAACCGCGGGATCCACCAAGCCCTGCTGATAAAAATATACGAAGCGATCTCCCGCAGTCACAGTAAACCCGTTTGAGTACTCCACACGTGAATGGCCGGTTTCCAGTACAACCGGACGCTCCACAACCCATTCGCTAGGCACGATCTCGTTCACTCGGAGGAAATCCGGGTTGATGTGCGCCGGTCGGGTGTTGGCAGCGTGGAAACGGACACCAAAGGAGTTCAGCAGCAATCTGGAAGGTTGCCCTCCAAGGTTAATTTCAACAGACCTTAGCATGTGTAGCCTAAAGGAGACGAAAGAGCGTGATCGGATTATCCGGGGAGTTGAATTGCCGATCACGTTCTCGTTCCCGAGTGCAGCAGCAATTTACACCATATTACACTGTCTGTCCTATACGGTAAACGTGAAGGGAACGTCCGACCTGGCCGCGAAGGGGTCATCCCGCCGCTGGCAATGCGATCGCAATCTGGGTTTGGTGCCGATCTCTTTCAGTGCACGAAAGCTGGCGTGCTGACTGGACCCCCGCCGTACACCGGAACCGATCAAGTAGCCTCAGGTGGCTGTAGACAATTGCCCAGGTTTCAGTAGACGAGCATGCCCCAAACTACCCCGTTCCGTCCGCCTCCACCTCCGCCAGAAACCCCAGCACGCGCTTGGTGTACTTTTCCGGCTCTTCGCTGTGGGGGCGGACCTCGGCCCAGCGGCAGTTGGGGACGAGGCGGTGGACGGCCTGGGCGAGGCCGCGGGGGTGGACGTCGTTGTTGCCGGGCATGACCATCGCGGGGACGGCGACGCTTTTCAGCGCCTTCTCGGTCATGCCGAGGGTCAGGTAGGGGCCGTCGAACAGGGCGTAGATGGTGTCGCGCATCACCTGCACGAAGTCCTCGGTGTTCATGGACTCCAGGTTCTTGCGGTAGTCGGCGTCGGTCTGCGCCAACTCGGGGCTGAAGGGCGAGAAGCGGTCGTCGGGGTCGAAGGCGTCCACCACCGACGCGATGCTGTCGTTTCTCCGCCATGTCCATGCTCTTGAACAGCTTGGCCGCTAGGTAAGCGTCGCAGATGACGCCGCCGGCGATGTTGGAGGGGAAGATGGCGCGCACCCGCTCGGGACGGCGCACGGCGCAGCCCAGGGAGATGGCCGCCCCGAAGGAGCCGCCGCCGAGATACGCCCGCTCGATGCCCAGGGTGTCCATCAGGCCGAACACGTCGTCGCACACCATGTCCCACGTCTGACACCACCATGGGGCTGCGGGACTGACCGCCGAAGCGGCGGTCGTACACCACCACCCGGTGCTCCTGGGACAGCGCCTCGATCACCGGATGGTAGCTGCTGGCATTGCCCTGCAGTCCGCCCGGCGAAAGGATGATGGGCGGTCCGCTCCCGGTTTCCTCGTAGTAAATCTCGGCCCCGTTCACTTTCGCAGTAGCCATCATCCCACCTCCTGGCGGTCATCCCTGCATGCTTGCAGGCGGTGTCACAGGTTCTGATCCTGCGCGAAGTATAGACGCGGCCGGCGGCACCGGCAACGCGTGGCTTCTTGTCCCGGCGGCGGCGGTCTGATACAAGTGTCAGGCGCATGGCGTCCTCTCTTTCGGCTCTCCTCGACTGGCGACCCAACACCCCCTTCTACTACGGCTGGCTGGTGCTCGGGCTCTCGGGCACCGGGGCTTTCGTGGCCACGGCAGTGGCGGGCGTGGTGCTGGGCGGCGTGCAGAGCTTCATCCTGGAAGACACCCTGTGGCCACGGACCAGCATCGGGCTGGCCTCCAGTTGCGGGGTGTGGCTGTCGGGGGTCTTTGCGCCCTTCGCCGGGCGGCTGGCCGACCGGTACGGACCCCGGTGGCTGATGCCCGTCGGGGTGATCGTCCTGGGCGTGTCCCTGGTGGCCATCGGCGGGGTGCACACGGCGTGGCAGTTCTTCATCGCCGCGGTCATCGGGCGGGCCGTCAGCCAGCCCTTCCTGATCGGCGTGGTGCCACGGACGATGGCGGTGAATTTCTTCAACCGGCGGCGCAACATCGCGCTGGCCCTCACTGGCATCTACCGCCCCATCAGCGGCGCGCTGATAATCCAGGCGTTCGCGCTCATCACCCTGTTGGCCGACTGGCGGATGGCTTTCCGACTGCTGGGTTTTTTCAGCCTGTTCCTGGCCATCCCCATGATCATCATCATGCGCCGGCGGCCGGAGGACATCGGGCTGCTGCCCGACGGGGCCCGGGCGCCGGCGGCAACGGGGCAATCCGGCACCGCTTCGTCGGGTCCGGTCGGACACGGCGCGGCGCGCGGGACGGCGGTGCGGACGGCGGAGGAAGTGAGCTGGACGTCCAGAGAGGCGATGCGGTCCAAGGCTTTCTGGATGGTTTCAATGGTCGCATTTCTCAACGTGACGGGGAGCTCCGGCCTGGGATTCAGCCTGGTGCCCTACCTGCACGAGTTCGCAGGGTTGACCACTCCGCAGGCGGCGGGGGTGCTGAGCGTGAGCACGTTCCTGGCGTTGAGCAGCCTGGTGTGGGGACAGGTGGCGGGGAAGCTGACCCCGCGATGGTGCATCATCGCAGCCATGGGGGTATCGGCGCTGGCGACCCTAGCCTTGCTGCAGGTCAACTCGCTGGTGGCAGCCTACGCCTACGGGGTGTTCTGGGGGCTGTTCCACAGTTCGCTGGAAGTGCTGCTTTACATGCTGCTGGCGGACTATTTCGGGCGGAACTCCTACGGGGCTATCGCCGGAGCGATGCGTCCCTTCGAGGCCGGCGGGCTGGGACTGGGACAGATCGTGGGGCCAGTGGTATACGACCTGACGGGCAGCTACACCATCCTGATCCTTTTCTCGGCGGCCGTGCAGGGCATGGCGATGTGCCTGATGCTGGTGGCGCGGCGTCCGGAACGCCGGGCTCCGCTGGCGGCGGAAGCGGCGTAGGCGCGCGGCCGCGGGGAAGTTGGCCCATGAGGCAACGGGTTGCGTCGCGGGCGCCAACGGGCCGCCCCGGCTAGATGTTGGTGAACCACAAACACGTGACCGTGTTGCTGACCCCATTGATGGGGCGAATGCGGTGGCGCATGATCTCGGTGAGGTCCTCGACCGTTCCGGCTTCCAGTTCCACCACAACGTCGTAGGGTCCCAGCACCTCGCGCACCGACGCGCCACTGATGGCGTTCAGGCGGTCGATAACCTCCTGCGTCCTGGCGGGTTCCACGTTGATGAGTACATAAGCGTTGGCCGCCATTGCTGCACCTCCGTTTGGGTCATATTACTATCGTACCATTGGTTTAATATTTGTTGTCCGCCCCGTGACACGCGTCGACTACTGCGACCACTTGGACGACCAATTTCTGCATCGGCGCTCAGTAATCATCGCCTACCGTACGCGCTAGGACAAACCTCCACCGATCGGCGGTGCCCGATCGGCCTTCGCTCAATGCTAACAAATGGTAAAATCGAAATAGGGATGACGCAACGCACAAACCGTCAGGACGATCCACAATAGGGTTTGCCACGCTTTGACCGTTCATAGCGAAAAATACCGTATGCGACCATCGTAGGGATTTACGAGATGACGATTAACGCTAATCTAAGTTCACCGCTTCCCGTAATCGGGTTCCATGGCACTACCAAACAAGCCGCAGACCACATTTTGACCACTAACTTTATCCCCAGTAAGAATCCATATGATTGGCTCGGAGACGGAGTTTATTTCTTTCAAGATGCGCCTGAGCGAGCTTGGGAATGGGCGCTCGACAATCACGGTCGTGAAGCTGCTGTCGTGAGGGCCGAGTTATCGTTAGTGGATTGTATCGACATGTTAGATACGGTTTGGTCACACTTTATGACACAAGCGTACGATCAGTTCCTTAATCTTTACAAGCGTGCTGGGTTCACTCTTCCTTCACAATCCTACGGAGCCCACAGGTTAGACCGTGAAGTGGTCAATTACGTAGTAGGAGTACTCGCTACAGAAGGGATGATTGTGCGATGCGTGAGGTCATGTTTTTCAGAAGGGCACCCTGTGTACCCTGATTCAGCGTTCTATAGTCACAGTCACGTTCAAATTGCGGTCCGCGACATCGAAACTTGTATCACGACAAAATGGCTGGATCGGACCGAATAACATGGAGGAGAACATGATCAGGCCTGAAGATGCAGAGCGACATATGCGTGCGCATTTTGAACAAGTTTCGCTTGAAGAGTTCAAACATCGTTACGAGCATGACGTTGACCTCAAAACCGAACTCTCCCAACTCGTACCGACCGACCGAAGCCGCCAGGCAGTGCTTCTTACTCAGAGAGAAGCCGCGCCACTACAATTGCACGCGTATCTAGCGTCTGCGCTAACCGGTTTGGGCGACCGGCAGCGGCAGTCTCTGTTCGACGTGTCTGATCTGGTAGCCGCCGTGTGCAATGAATTGGATATTGTGGTCTATGAGCCTCGGAAATCCACTGACCCAATCCTTCATCCGAATGTATCGCCCATAGAAGTCTACCGTCGCGACCGAGAAATCGTGCTAGGCTCCGATTTGATCATCCACATCGCAGACTATGCCAGTACTGGAGCGGGCGAAGAGTTGGACTTCGCACAAGCTGCATTGATCCCCATTGTGTTGCTGTCGCACGGAAATACGGTCATCAGCCGCATGGTGCTGGGGATACCCGGTCTAACACTCATGATTCAATACAGTGACCTTGATGATCTCCGTGTTGAATTGAGACAACGTTTGATGGAGATCAGGCCAATTGTAGAAGAACGCAAGCTCGCGTTCTCAAATTTCAACACTAATATCGTCGGAAACAAAGTACGGTTGCTCCGACAAGAATACGGGCTTACCAGAGAAGAATTAGTTTCCAGTTCCAACGGCCTTTTGGATATAGACCGGATCCGAGAGATCGAAGAAAACACGGACAAAGTTGCCAATCCTTCGCTATTGGAATTACGTGCGCTATCGGTCTTCCTAAAGACTACCGTCGCCGACCTCGCCGAGCCAGACTTGGAAGAACGTATGCGCATAATGCTACACGAATGGTTGGACGGCAACACGGAAGCCAGATATGGAATGAGCCGGAGTGACAGAAACAAAATTCTTCGCCGAATACTTTTGAGGGTCATAGATGATTTAGAACGGGAGTAATTGACATGAGAGACTTTCCGGACTCAGAACGCATCAGTGCGCAATTGCTCAACAAAATAGAACGCACTTCCCTGCCTATCAATCTGCATGCAGTAGCTTCTCTCTGGCCAAATCTCACGGTCAGCGAAGAGAATTTGGATAAAGAAGGCTACCTGATCTTGTTAGGATCACGAGGCGCTGAGTTAGTAATCAGGAAATCAGACCCGTCTGCTAGAAAACGATTTACTTTCGCCCACGAATTGGGCCATTGGGTATTGTCAAATACTCGAGACTGTGAGGTGCGCTTTGACGGTTCGATCCCGTCGCATGTTTCACATCACCACTCCAGGAGCTCCCCTGAGGAAACTTGGTGCAACGAGTTCGCTAGCAGACTTTTGGTGCCAACCACCGAGGTTCAGGAGTTTCTAAGCGGACCTCTCGACCACGTGCCTAACAAGCTCTCCGATGGTCACCGAAAGTTCGAAGTTTCGGAGGACGCGTTTCTCTTCCGAATTGCAGACATCACCGGTTGGATCATCCTTCATTTGGCTCATGGTTCTAATCTCCATCGAATAGGGAAGCGATACATCTCGAGAACCCAAAGCAGACCACACGTAGAGCAATCGATGAGTGAGCTGCTTGAGATTACGCGGACTGACGCGGTTTTCCTTGGTACTAAGGTTTCGCTGTCCGATTGCGTCGCGTACGGAACTCTGAAATCGAGGTCCCGAGAAACTGACACTTATTTGGTATGCCTCATGCCAAATGTCTGACGTGGTGCAGACCATTCGAGCGCATCGGTCAGAGATTGTGCGGGAACGTGTCTTAACCCGAACCCATCAATCCTTCAACGCCGGTATAACCTCTTGCCCGAAGAGTTCTATCGAGCGCATGGTGTCGGCGTGCGAGAGCTGGCCGCCCTGGGCTTCCAGGAGTATGGAGCCGATGCCCAGTTCGTCGCGGATGTGGCGCAGCTTCTTGATGACGGTGTCGGGGCTGCCCACCACCAGGTGGTAGCGGTCCTGCAACTCCTGGTATGACATCTCGTGGAGGGGCGTGGGCCGCCGGGCCGCCACCGCCGCCGCGCCGGCGCGGGACGTGTAGCCGGGCGGCGACCAGTACTCGCGGGGGCCGCGCAGGGGATAGTTCATCCGCCAGAGGAACGCCTTGCCGGACTCCTGGGCCTTCTCGTCGGTGTCGTTGACGTGGGCGCAGATCATGAAGGCGAACTTCTCGGGGCCGGGCTCCCAGCCGTCGGCGGCGGCGTACTCGCGGTAGCGGGCGAACAGGTTCTTCGCGACGTCCAGCGGGGTCAGGAAGGCGGCGTAGGTGTAGCGGTGGCGCGCCGTCCACTTCGACGGTCTCGGGGCTGCCGGTGCCGGGGACCCACACCGGCGGATGGGGCTTCTGGACGGGTAGCATCCACGGGTTCACGGCGCGGTAGTGGTAGTGGTTGCCCTCCCAACGGAAGGGCCCGGGCGTGGTCCAGGTCTTCACCACCAGGTCGTGGCACTCCTCGAAGCGCTCGCGGTTGTGGATGGGGTTGGTGTTGTTGGCCCAGGATTCGATGCCGATGCCGCGCACGAAACCGGAGATGATGCGGCCGCCGGAGATCACGTCCAGCAGGGCGATCTCCTCGGCCAGGCGGACGGGGTTGTCGGACGTGGGCAGCATGTTGCCCAGCATCAGGATCTTGGCCCGCTTGGTGATCCGCGCCAGGATCCCGCCGTGATGTTCACCTCAACGTCCATGCACGAGGGCGTGTTGTGGTGCTCGTTGATCATCAGGCCGTCGAAGCCCATCTCCTCGGCGTGCTGATACTCGTCGAGGTAGCGGTTCATCAGGCCGCTGGCGGTCTGGGGGTCGAAGTAGGTGTTGGGGAAGGTGAGCCGCATGGACGGGAACTTCTCCGCCTCGGACTCCGGGAACTCGGCGTAGGGCATCTCGGTGAAGTAGAAAACGTCCATTAAATCGCCTCCGTGACCAGCCAACGCCAACCGGCGTTCCGCAATTGCGCCGGAGTATAGCACGCACCCTTTACCGCCCTGGCCCGACGGCATTCCGGCAGCGACCAGCGCGCTCCATGCGGGTGCGTGCAAGTTGCGCGCCGGGCGGTCGTGCTGCCGCGTACCCACCATGAGGTATTGAGCGCCCGGGAGACCCGTTCCTCTCGGTAGCATCGCGATTGAGGTGGTAGAGTTGGCCCACGGCAAATTGGGCAATTTCCGGCACCTGGCGATCTGAAGGGAAGTCGTATGGCGACTGCATCCAGACCAGATGATCACGCTGGCCATCTACGCAACGCTCTGGTTGAAGGCCTGGTCGAAAAAGGCGCGATTGAAGCCAGGACGTACGCGAGGCATTCGGAAAAGTTCCCCGCCACTTGTTCGTGCCAAAGGTGGACATCGCCACCGCCTATACAGACCAACCCGTGTTTATCCGTTGGCACGCGGGAACGCCTATCAGTTCGTCCACTCAGCCCACGATGATGGCTATCATGGCCGAGCAATTGCACCTGGAACCCGGCTGTAGAGTGCTGGAAATAGGTTCAGGAACGGGCTACAACGCGGCCATCCTGGCTCATATCGTCCGGGACAGCGGCGGCGTCATCACGGTGGACATCGACCAGGATATTGTGGATGAGGCTTCCGGAAACTTGTCCAAAGCCGGGTATGGCGATGTCGAAGTCGTGCGTGGGGACGGATTCGAAGGATTCTCGGCAGGTCAGCCCTACGATCGCATAATGGTTACCGTCGGCGCCCGCGATGTTTCACCCCATTGGGTTGAACAACTGAAGAATGGCGGGATCATGGTAGTCCCGCTGTGGTTCAAAGGTTTCAATCTGAGTGTGGCACTGGAAAAGCGCGACGGCGTCCTTGAGGGTTTATCCGCGTCCCCGTGCCTATTCATTCCGATTCGCGGAATCGCTGACCTCACCGAGGGATATTTCCCCATTCGGGACGATCCCAACGACGCTCTGCAAATGTCCATAGGCATGGAGCGGGACGACCCGGCCCAACGTCGAGATTTGGACCGGTTTTTTGCCCAGAATGTGCGAATCCGCGAGATCGGGCGTTCCCTCGAAGGCCAATTTCATACGCAGGACATCTTCTCCGGTCTCTACGTGTTCCTTACGGTCGACCCGCGGGTCAATGTCTTCTATTCGCCGTCCCAAGACGGTCTGTTCCAGGGTGCCGGTTATGCGCTGATCGACCTCGAAAGCATGAGCGCCGCCGTGCTGTCGGCTGGGCACCCGGAACAAGTCATGGTCTACGGGAATGATGCGCCATATGTTGAGTTGATCGGGCTTCTTGACCAGTGGGATAAGCTGGGGCGCTCTTCAATTCACGATCTGCGTGTCCGCGCGTTCTTCGATCCTCCGCAATCCATGCCTGACGGTCATTGGACAGTCGCCAAGAGGTCGGCTTATACCTGGGTCATGTCGTGGGGCAGTTGAAGCATCGCCGACAGCGGATACCGCCAGATAACCACGGCCTCAGACAGCGTGCCGTCTCCCCGCAACGGCGTTCCCGAATGAGGCCATTGCTCTTATGTTCACCGCGCCGAGGCCCCACGCCAGAGTTGCCAGCAGTATCCGCGCCCCACGCGGGCCGGTTGGGCATTGCGAGCGGAAAGTGCGCAGGCGTGGATGATCAGACTCACGCGTATCCACTTTCATCACCTGTCATTGCGAGAATGCCGTCAGGCATTCGTGGCAATCGCGATACGGTACTTGCCGATCAAGCCAAAACGCCCCTACCAGGGCAGCGAGATTGCCACGCTTCGCTCGCAATGACAAACTGGGTACGCGCGAGGATGATCAGACCGTTGACAATGATAGCGCGATAAAATACTTTGTATCACCCGTTCGCAAGGCTCCCTTGCGGGTACGGGCTGGGAACAGGTTCAGCGTCGGGAGACGTAGCTGATGAGCGCACAGCAGGACTTGCAGCAGGAAGTCGATCGCCTCACCGCAGCGCTGGCGGAGCGGGACCAGGAGGTGGCCTCGCTGCGCACCCGGCTCACCCTGGACGAGAGCGGAGGGCGGGCGCCGATCGTCCGCGGGGAACCGGCGGCAGGCGAAGTCGATGACGCGGAGACCTTCCACGAAGCGCTGCGCGGCCTGGCCCTGGTGTCCCGTCTCCGCATAGGCGCCCACCAGGCGGCGCTCAGTTACGTGCCCGATGGGGACTTCAAGGCGGCCATCCACACCCACTCCTTTTCCGAGAAGTACGCCCGATACAACGCTTATGACGTGATGCCGACCGGGGACGGGATCTGGGGACTGGTGGTCAAACAGCGCGCGCCGATCCGGATAACCACGGATGAGCTCTACGCGCATCCGGCGTTCAAGGAATTCAGCGGCCTCAAGAATGGCCAAGGCCTGGAACACCCTCCCATGCCGGGCTGGCTGGCGGTGCCCGTGCTGCGCCGCGACGGCGGGCTGATCGGCGTGGTGCAGCTGAGCGACAAGTTCGACGGCGAGTTCACCGAGGCCGACGAGGACCAGTTGGTGCAGCTGGCCAAGTTCTACACGGCGACGTTCGAGCTGCAGTACGTGTACGAGGACCTGCGGCGGCTGACCGGCGCGCTGCGGCAGGCAACCCGGGAATTGCAGCGTTCCAACGCCGAACTGGAACAGTTCGCCTACGTGGCCTCGCACGACCTGCAGGAGCCGCTGCGGATGGTGACCAGCTACCTGCAACTGCTGGAACGGCGCTACAAGGCGAACCTGGACCAGGACGCCAGCGATTTCATCGCCTTTGCCGTCGACGGCGCGGCCAGGATGCAGACCCTTATCCAGGACCTGCTGACCTACTCTCGGGTCGGCACGCGGGGCGCTTCCTTCGAACCCACCGATAGCCAGGCAGTGTTGGACCAGGTGCTGATGAACCTGGAGGTGGCCATCGCGGAGAGCGACGCCGAGATCAGTTTCGGTTCGCTGCCGAGCCTTTCGGCAGATACCTCGCAGATGGCGCAGTTGCTGCAGAACCTGATCGGCAACGCGATCAAGTTCCGGGGAGACAGCCCTCCCCGAATCCGGGTCGAAGCGACGCGGGAAAGCGACGATTGGCGCTTCTCGGTCCAGGACAACGGGATCGGCATTGACCCCCGTTACTCGGACCGCATCTTCCAGGTGTTCCAGCGTCTGCACGGGATCGGGCAGTACCCCGGCACCGGCATCGGCCTGGCCGTCTGCAAGAAAATCGTGGAACGACACCAGGGGAATATCTGGGTCGAATCACAGCCGGACGCCGGGGCGACCTTTTTCTTCACCATACCGGTTCATCTCGATACCATTCCAGAATCGGACCTGGCCGCCGCGACGAGCGGGCCGGCCGGTTGATGGTTACGCTACCAGCGTCGGCGCCAGTCATAACCCCACCACGCAGCGCAGGAGGAGAAGGCGATGACACTACAATCACGCCGCAGGCCGATCGAAATTCTCCTGGTCGAAGATAACCCCGGCGACGCGAGGCTGACCCGGGAGGCGTTTGCCGACGCCAGCGTCTCCAACAACCTGTCGGTGGTTGGTGACGGCGAACAGGCCATGGCCTTCCTCAGGCGGGAAGGCGATTACGCCGGCGCGCCGCGTCCCGATCTGATCCTGCTGGACCTGAACCTTCCCCGCAAGAGCGGCCGGGAGGTGCTGGAAGACGTCAAAACCGACCCGAGGCTGCTGTCCATTCCCATCGTGGTGATGACCACTTCGGAAGCCGAAGGGGACATCGTCAACTCCTACTATCACCACGCCAACGCGTACGTCACCAAACCGGTTGACCTGGATCGTTTCATCGACGTCGTCAGCAAGATTGAGGGGTTCTGGCTTACCGTCGCGAAGCTGCCGCCGGAGTGACTTCTCGGGAGATCATTCCGTCCAGGTGCAGCATTCGGCGCAAGTCGGCGGCTCCATCACACGGGCCACCGTTACGACAAAGCCATCATGCGTACGATAAAGGAGGCAGAGCACCATGACTACACGCTCACCGGAAAACCCAATCGAGGTGCTGCTGGTTGAGGACAACCCCGCGGACGCCAGGCTGACGGAAGAGATTCTGAAGGACTCGGCGTACGCCGTGAATCTTTCGGTGGTCGAGGACGGAGAGGACGCAATGACCTATCTCCGCCGCCAGGGTGAGTACGCGTACACTCCCCGGCCCGACCTGGTCCTGCTGGACCTGATGCTGCCCCGAAAAAGCGGCCAGGAAGTCCTCACCGAGATCAATCAGGACCCCAATTTACGGAACATTCCGATCATGATCTTGACCGGGACGGCGGCGGAACAGAGCATTCTCTGGCAGCACAACATCTCCCCGGGAAGGTTCTGTCGCAAGCCCATCGAGGTGCATCGATTCGACTCGGCCGTGGCACAGCTTGATTCGCTCAGCGAGCGTCCCCTGGTCATGGCAACCCCGCCGGCGGAGCCACAATCGAACCGGAAGTGGTGGTGGCCCTTCGGGCGTTAGGCGACGTACGGGGCCGCGCGCTGTCGCGCTTTTGTGAACCCGCTGGATGATGGCGGGCCCGGAGGGTAGGCGCTGGCGCGTGCTCACTCGTCACCGGTGCGTCATCGCGAGGAGCACAGCGCCGTGGCGATCTCGCACTCGCGACGACGGCCTTCGCCCCGACGAGCTTGCCGCGCTTCGCTCGCAATGACATTTTCCAGGGCAGGCGGGCGTCGGGTTGACATACTCGGAGTGTACGGGCATCGTAAATCCATGCGCGCGTTGCTGGCCGGCATCTCCGGCGTCAACAAGGACATCGTCGTCGCCAACCTGCTGGCCCGCCTCCGCGCTCACGGCGAGGTCAGCACGCCGGCCGGTTCCGATACCGTCGCAGCCGACCCGTCGGAGTTGCTTACCGACAGCATCGAGGACGCGCTGGCCGCGCAGGGCAACGAGTTGGCCGGCGTGCTGGCCGCGTTTCGTCCCACCTACCAGCTGGCCGCGTGGCGTCGGGCCGGCCAGGCAATCGCCGAGCGGATCGAGGCAGCCGACCCGCGCCACAGCCTGATCGCGGCGCACCTGACCTACTACACCAGCGGCCGGCAGTTCTCCCTCATCGACCTGCCCACCATCCGCCGGTGGCGTCCCGACTGCATCATCACGCTGGTCGACGACATGCTGGACATCCACAGCGCCCTGGCCCGGCGCGACGCCGACCGGCACACCAACTTTCGCCTGCGGTTGCGGGAGATCCTGGGCTGGCGCTCCGCCGAGATCGCCATGGCCGACCTGCTGGCCCGCAACCTCTACCCCGAACGCGCCGTGCCCCACTACGTGGTCAGCATCAAGCACCCCGCGGAGATGCTCTACCGACTCATCTTCGCGCGCCGCCAGTACCCGCTGGCGTATTCCAGCTTCCCCATAACCGCGATCCGCTACGATCCCGACCTGCGGGCGGCGGTTGACGACATCCGCGCCGAGCTGCACCGCCGTTTCATCGTCTTCGACCCCCTCACGCTGGACGAGGGCACGCCCCAGGTGTTCGACAAGGCCCGCGCCGCCTGTGCCGACGGCACCACCGAGATCGTCATTGACGCCGAGGAAGCCCGCTGGCCCCTGGACACGTCCGGCGCCCTCACCGAGGGTCGCGCCGACCCGTACCCCATGACGCTGGACCCCCGGGAGGCGCTGGAGGTGTGGGACGACATGGAGAACCAGGTGCGGCACCGGGACCTGACCATGGTGGAGCAGGCCCAGTGCGTCGCCGCCTACCGCATCACCATGGGCGGCCGGCTCTCCACCGGCATGTACTCCGAGCTGATGTACGCCTCGCACACCGCGGAGCCGGCGCGGCCGGTGCTGATGTACGCCGACCCCTCCGACGGCGGGCTGGAGCATCCCTTCCTGCGCAACTTCAACCATCGGACGTTCCACGACCCCGAGGAATGGTTCGACGCCATCCGGCAGGTCACGCCCAGCGCGGAGCCGGACCCGCAACGACCGCTTTTCTGATCCGGGCGTGCAGGGAGAGCGTCGAGTCCGGTAGCGGCTGTCTCGGCCGGCCGCAAATTAGGTTGCCGGTTTCCCGGTTACATCCAAAACGGTAGGGCGTGCGTAGGACAATAATCCTGCCGCGTGCAACAATATAACTCACTGTGAACGAGAAGATAACTCGTCGCCTGAGATAACTTGATGAGAGGAAACCATGAACGAAGAACTGCGCCAGTTCATCAAGGAGTGCCTGGAGAAGGGCATCGACCGGGAGTCCATCCGAAACGTCCTGCTGGAGGCGGGGTGGCAGGAGCGCGACCTGCGCAGCGCATTAGCTGCTTTCTCCGACGTGGATTTCCCGGTGGCCGTGCCCCGACCCCGACCCTATCTGCACGCTCGGGAGGCGTTCCTCTATCTGGTCTCGTTCATCTCCCTGTACGTCTTCGCCTTCAGCCTGGGAACCGTACTCTTTGGCCTCATTGACCACACCTTTTCCAACTCCCTCAACCGCTACGGCTCGTCGCCCTCCACGGGGGAGGCCACCGCCATCGCGGCGGTCATCGTCGCTTTCCCCCTGTATCTGATCCTGATGCGCCGGCTGGCGTCGGCGGTCGCGACGGATCCCGAACGCCGGCAGTCCCTGGTGCGCCGATGGCTCACCTACTTGACGCTGGTGGTCGGCGCGGGGATCATCCTCGGGGACATCATCGCGCTGCTGGCCAGCCTGCTCACCGGGGACCCGACGCTCAACTTCTTCCTCAAGGTCGCCGCGGTGCTGCTGATCGTCATCCCGATCTTCGGCTACTACCTTTGGGACATGCGCCAGGCCGAGGACGAGGTTTCCATCTCGGTCGCGCGGGCAACACCCATTTTGCGCGCCCTGGTCATCGCCGCGGTGGTTGTGGTAGTGGCCGCGGTGGGCTACTCCATCTACGTGATCGGCACGCCTGGCCAGCAGCGCGACATCCGGCTGGACCGGGAGCGGGTCAATGACCTGCGCAGGATCTCCAACAACATCGACACCTACCTGGAGCTCAACGAGGAGATGCCCGCCAGCCTGCTCGACCTGCTGGGTCCGCAGTACTACGTCCGGTCGATAGAGGATCCGGACACCGGCGCGCCCTACGAGTACCGGATCCTGGAAGACACCGACTACGAGCTATGTGCCATCTTTGCCGCAGAGATTCCGGAACGGGAAGTCGAGCGGCGACCGTTCTTGGAGACCATCTGGGACCACGGGCCGGGGCGGACGTGCTTTATGCTGACGGCGAAGGGGGAGAAGGGGTAGCAATCGAGGGTCGTTGCGCGCGTTGGCGGATAAGGTAGCCATCCCCGGCCCGCCGCTGGGTAGAAAGGACGAACGAGTTCCTTCAGACCTTGCCACGGGATGACTGTGTCTATACCGTCCCACATCGACAATGTGAACCGACGGCGGGCAAGGATCGTCGCCATAGTTCAAGCTAGAGCCGACGCCATGCCTGTTCTTGCGCCCTCTCCGGCGGCTCAACTCGACCTACCCAAACACCGCCCAAACCAGCGTGATGGTGCCCGCCGCTGCCAGTGACCCTGCCCACAGCAGGTCCAGGTTGATCCACCCCGCCGCAGAAACGCCAGGCCAACCCGGTAGTAGACAATCACCGCCGCCGCCAGCATCGCGGCCAGCATGACGACGGTGTGCATCAGTAGCGCGGCAAGCCACCAGATGGGCGCGTCGGCCAGAGACAGAAAGCCGCCGTGCTCGCCCAGGTCGCCCACAATGCCTGATGTGGCGTCCGGTTGGGTCAGGGACAGCACCACCGGAGCCAGCATCAACCCGGCGCCGTGGGCCGTCGCCATCAGAAAGGACCAGGCTATCAGGTCACGCCCGCCCACGTTCATCCCCACCCATCGGGGGTGTCGGTAGTATCGGACCAACCGGTAAACGCCGAAGCCCAGCAGCATCGCGCCGACGGCGATGCGTACCCATCGCAGGGGGAGAAATGCGCCGGCCAGCACCAGCGCCACCATGATGATCACCACCGACGCCAGGTGACCGACGGCGATGTATCCGGTGGCCGTGTACAGCTGCACCGGCCGCTGTCGCTGCAAAGCCAGCGACACGGCGAACAGCCACCCCATCGCGGGGTTCAGCCCGTGGAATATTCCCAGCGCGGCCAGACCCAGCCAGGGGCCCAGCGACGCCAGGGCCGCCGGATCGGGAATGAGGGCATGCAGCAACACTGCCGACACTACCGGTCCGGCGGCCCCAGAGCCGACGGGAATGTCCCTGCTACAGGAATGTCCCTGCTACGGGAAGCAGAACGTATCGGACGAAGCGTCGCCGCCCTGTAACCGCACCTGGTGGCTGCGGGTCTTACCGTAATCGACGAAGAAATCGGAATTGACCGACATTCCGCCCTCGGGGTTCACGTCGATGCGGCTGAGCCAGCCGTTCAGCCCGTCGGGATAGAACTGGTCATCCCAGGACGAATACAGCGAGTTGGTCAGGTACACGCGCCGACCATCCCGGCTGATTTCCACCATCTGCGGACCGCCGGTCAGGGTCGCCCCGGTGGGATGGGCCGCTTTGCGCACCACGCCGCCCATCTCCAGCTCGCCGGTCTGGACCGGGTTGAAGGGGTCGGAAACGTCGTACTGCAACAGCTTGCCGGTGCCCCAGCAGGACACGTACAGGAACCTGTCATCCAGCGAGAGGTCAATGTCGGTGACCAGCGGCGGCACTGCGCCCAGGGGCTGCAGGGCCGGCGGCAGATCCGCGGCGTCTGCCGGTTCGGCCGGTATGGAAATGATCTTGCGCGCGGCCCATTCCTCACCGTCCCGGTACCAGAGGAAGATGGAGCCGGAAAGGTCCTCGGTGCTCACCACCACGCCGCAGAAACCGTAGTGCCGCGTCGGGTTGTGTGCCGGGCGCAGCTCCAGGGCCATCTGATGCTGCGCGCCCAGGTCAACGGCCTGGCGATGGGCCCGGCGGCGCATATCCCAGAAGTGCAGCACGTGGCCGTAATTCTGTCCCACCACGTCCTCGAGCCGGGCCCCGCTTTCAAACATCTCGGGGGTGCCCCACTCGCTGGTCATCATGGTGTCCAGGCCGATGTGCCACCAGAAATCGTAGGCCAGTTCCTGCGGCCCCCGGTCCAGTTCCCACGGCCCGATGGGCTCAAAGGTATAGTGGTCCAGCATCATGATGCCGCCGGGACGATCTCCGTCCGCGGAGCCCAGGGCGCTGACGTAGATCGCGTCCGGCCCGCAGTGAACGGTGTGGGGGCGACTGTAGCCGGCCCGGCTCACCTGTTCCGCCTCGATGGTCTTGACGATCCGGGGCCGCACCGGGTCGGGCTGGGTGTCGATGATGTAGATGCGGCTGTTGGCCAGGCTGGGGACCACCAGGTAGCGGCGCTCCAGATGGGGATGCGCCGACGACGGGCACAGGGCCGCGCTGCAGGCGTTCCAGTTGAAATGGTGCAACTCGTCGCCCACGTTGGGCATTTCCAACGAGTGGACCACCTGCGAATACGACGCTGAGTTGGGATCGCAGTCCACCACCGTCATGGCGTCCGGCTCACCGGAATCGGGATTGAGCACGGCGACATAGGCCAGGCGTTCTTGCGGAGCCTCCATGGCCAGGCGCGCCGAGGGGTAAAAGGTCTGGGTCGGGTCTCCAGAGGGCCATCTCTCCAATCTCCTTCGTCTCACGCCGTCACTCGGCGAACTTCGGCACCACGTGCTGCCGGTCGGCGTATCCTACTTCCCGTGTCGCACGGCAGGATTGTTGCAGCCAGTCCACCAGTTGTGCCCCCACGGCTAACTGTCAAGGCCGTCAACACAAGTACAACATCGACGCGCTGTGCCATCCGCCAGCAAAGCACACCTCAGCTGGTCACCAGTAGAGTCGTTGCGACGCCTGCCGGCAATCGAGTTCCGTTCCGATCTCGAATGAACCACATCATTCCCCGCGCCGTACTCAATACCCCTCTCGATATGTACCTGCCCTCCGGATGTAGAGAGGCACCAACTCTATAGGGATCCAACCGGGCGAAAATGGCGGTTTGTTGGGCATCACAGGAGTGGTTTACACGCTACTGTGTGGAGCTGATCGGCGATAGCATGTGGTCGTTGCCGAATACCCAATATTCCGCTAGGTAACTCCACAACCAGTACGCAGACCGGGTTACGCAACATTTGGGCCAATTAGTCGCATTGCAGATTTCATTAGAAACTCTGACATTCTCCCGCCGCCCGATCCCACCGGCATCGGGCTTGCCGCGGCGCCCAATTCGGCCTGGGGCACTACAATGGCAACTTTACGGCAAAAATCTGCCATAGTGGTAGCGGTCCGCACTGTAAAGGAGGGACAAATATTTGCGAGCGGTAAGCAGGACCCATGGGCAAGACGGCGTGGACGGGTTAGCGGCGTTTGTTCATCAGGCTAACTCACCAGGCACCAAAGCCGGCCCGCACGCTCTCCGTCATGCCTTTGGAACCAATTACATCCGAGCTGTTGGCGGAGTCCGCCAACTCCAAGCGATTCTGGGCCACCAACGGATCGACACGACTATGATTAGCGTCCCTTGGCTGTTCCATCCGTAAGTCCGACACGCTTTGGCTTCAAAGTCCCGCGCCATGGGTTTACTTGGTCGTTGCTTTCGGACTCACGCGAAGCGACCAACGAATCCGAGCAAACCATCAACCATTGAGCCCGACACGGGTATCCCATTGGATGTGAAACGCAACTTCCTCGACATCAACCTTTCTGAGCAAGCGGCAATTGCGTCCTAACTGCCCGACGCTTGGGTGGGGCTTTGACAACTCTCCAGATTGATGTTGTAATCAACGCCCGTTCGCAACTTGAAAGGCAACTATGTACGGCAAGCATTGTCCGTATGGGAGCAGTGATCATGGATAAGAGATTGCACAACCTTCAACTCGTACTGGAGCAGTTGGACGTGGGCACTGACATCGATTCGATCGACCGACGTGTGACGCGCATAAGCCGTGTATCTGGCTCAGAAGCGGGATACCGTTGCTTTATTAAAACCGGATAACGTGTTATGTGATGGGACCGACATGGCCCGAATTGTGCGAGGGATTAATATGCACTGCAATAACTACCTGAGAACCAGGCCTTCCATCAAAAATATGACCCTGAAGGATCCCATTTCGCTGGGCCGTGACGCAATTGAAGGCGGTTATGGATCCCCCGAGATGTCCACCTGGACAGAAGAGAATGGCTAGAATTGCTTGCTCGCTCACATCTCAGGGCCAAAAGCAGAAGGTTAGGCAAGACGAAACTCCCTTCGCTCGACGCTGACAGCGCATCTATCACCCGCTATAGGACCAATCTACTGAAACCTTGAAACAGTTGAGCCATCTCTTGCCAGGGTTAGGGAGGATACCAAAATGGGCAGGGAAGCCAAGTACATTCGTGCAAGTCACCGACCCCGGTCCATGGCACCGATTGAGCTAAGTCAATTGGAGATCGATCTGTTGTTCCTACCGGAGCTTTCCAGCGGCTGCGGAACGTCAAGCAGTTGGGTTTGGCACACTTGGTTTTTCCCGGTGCGGACTACTCAAGGTTATCCCACTCGATCGGGGTTAACCACATCACGGGCAAAATTTTGGATGCACTAAAACGTCCAATACCGCTTACTCCATTTTAAGACGAAGAGTATGAACTCTACCGACTAGCGGGCTTGTTGCACGACGTCGGGCACTACCCGTATTCTCATACCTTCGAAGACGCCGTTTCAACTTACTATCAAGACCGATTTCAACCCGATCTTGTTCACCCTACGCAGATAATCATCCCAAGCTAAACATGGCCTCATCTTAGCGAAACCCTGACCACACATTACGTTCTCTCTGGACAGAAGACGTGGGGGCCGTCAGTTGCTTAAAAGGATCCGGAGATCACGGAAGTTTTGGCATCATATGATATCGACGCCTCTGACATAGATGCATTTTCTCACGCCAACACCGTCCGACGACGGTCAGAATCCCCAAACATAAATTTATTAAAGCATTAATAATTTATTAAAAATAATTTTATATGTGGGGGACTAAGGAATTATTTTATTATCCA